CAGGAATGTTACCTTAATGTTATATGGTAATTATATCCCATTTTTCTCTACATTTTTCTTGACATTTCACCAGATTGGCTACATTTTTCTTCACTTCAGTCCTTACACAGAACCATCATCTTCTGAGAGAAATCACATTTCTGCCTGAATATTTTGAACTTTCTGTAGTTACAAAAAACAGCTGCAATTACTGGAAATGAAGGATGTTTTCTTTGTCTACTGTTCCCCTTGGTAGCCCATTAGGACCTAGTCCTGCAGAAATCTGCCAGGCAGTTCCATGGTACCTATTTGGAGTTTTCTATTAGCTCAAATAAGGCTGTGTTTGAGTGCAAGGGCCTACCTGCCCAGCCTATTCACTTTTTCCTTTGGTGTAGACATTTATGGACAACAAAAAGCTACATGAAAAAATAAAGCTGCATTTGTACAGTTTGAAAAGAACTTAAGACTCTAAGGATATGGTTTGAATACTGCTAGAACCAGATGTTTTTTTCAGGTAGGCAATTTTAAAAAAATTAAGTAGATACTGTCCTTTTAAAACTATCGTGAAGTAAGTATCAACTGAGTGAAGGGTATAATTCATTTTCGGGCATTTACAGAAAGGTATTAAGTAATGGCATCTTTTGTAAAAAGCCTTAATGTTTCCAAGGCATGTTACATGAAATGTATAATTTCTCATCTATAATGAATTTGTTATACCCAGTTTGTTTTTGCTAGTGGACATCAAGACTAAGTACAGACAATATCCCCAGCTGAATCAATTCAGTTTTTGCAGGTTAGTCCAAGCTGCAAAGATTGAACTGATTTGCAAGTGAATAGACATTCATTTTTGATTGAGGAAGTGAAGGCATATGCCTTCAGTGGTTCATGCCAGAAGCCTTAGGGCACTAGAATGCACCTCCCAGCCTGCCAGCTCCAATGCTCTTCCTCCCTCCCTGCTCATAGGAGAGGGCATGGCCAAGCCCTAGCCCAGAGCCAGCTGGAGGGTCTGCCTGGGGTGGGGAGGTGGGCAGCACCTGCCAAGCTGAGGAGGGGGTGGGTAGGGGAAGAGGGTAGTGGCACTGAATTCATAAAAGCTTGAACAAGAATAGTCCTTTCTCTGAAGTGAATATGTATTGAACAGAAAAGAACAACCCTGCAGAGTCCTACAGCCTGTGGTCATGAACTACAAATCCCAGAGGCACCTGGAAGCAGGAAGAGGAAATGATGAGCAACCCTGTGGAGTCCTGGTGCTGCAGGTCTGGACTCTAAATCCCAGAGACCTTGGGGGCAGCAGGAAGAGGAAGTAAACACACAGCCTATGCTGGGGGACTCTGATTTAACTTGAACTAGGAAGGGGTCTGGGACAAAAATTTTATAAACCAGTTTAACCTAAATCAGTTGAGTCTGATACTACATTCAACCAGGTTTATCTTAAACCAGTTTCAGCCATTTTGAAACTGGTTTATGTGCACTGAGTTTCTGCTGTTACAGGTTTAAACCAGTTTCTGATCGTCACTTAAATTGGTTTATGTTTAACTTCTGTCCCTAGCCCAAAGGTCCTCAAAGTTAAAGTGGCTGGACCTCTACACATGTGCAGAGTCGAGGGAATATATTGTGGATCTTTTTTCTTTGTTTTTATGATTATATTATGGTCCGTCTCAGAAGAAGATGGCCCCAGCCATACCTTTTTACCAGTGATAAAGAACTGTAAAACTACATTCAAATCTATTTTAAGGAAGTGATAGAGCCATCCTGAAGTTACTTATACATTTAGGAAAGAGAGACAGAAAGAGATGAAGTAATTTCCATGTCAAAGACAAAGCTTACTCTGGGGTGCAGGATGGGTATGGGGGGGGGATGATAGCCATTACCTACACATACAGGATTATGCAGTACATAATTCCTAACAGAAATGACTATGACATCAGGAAGAGTTCAGAATTATAGGAGTCCCACATATTTTTCGCCCTTCTCCAAAACCGTAAAGCTTGATGCATGTTGTCTTTTCTCTGGAGCAATGTTTTAGAGAGCAGTCAACTATATTTCTCAAAGCTACTGCTAGTTTGCTCTGTTCATTACATTATGGAAAGCTTATAGCAATATAATAGTGACCTATTATGAGAAGCTGAGAGTCTGAGACAAAGAGAGAGAGTAGAAGTCTATAGGGGATTGCTCTTGCTATAGTGCAAACAAAGAACCCACAAGGCTTCAGGGCCATTTTAAAACCAAAATTTTATACGTTTAAAAGTACCAGCATCCAAACCCCACACACCCTCTAGCTACATCGTTTCCCCTCTAGCATAAACTTTTAGTCATCAAAACACAGATCATGCTACAAAACACACAGCAACATAAACAGTTGTACTTTTGTCTCTCAAAATCCCTACCCCTAATTCCCAGGCAGCAAACAGTTTCTTTCTCTGACCTAGCCCGGCCTCCTTATACAGTTCTAAGCCTAATGAGTTTCAGCTGCACCTAATCACTTCCCTGCTGGGAGTCCCTCCCGAGCTGACTGGAAACCCTTGTTGATATTTAACTCAGACTCTCCTCTACTCATGTGTAAAAAACAAAACAAAACAAAACAAAAAAAAAAAAAACCTCCATGATTTTGCCTTAATAGTATCTCTTGCAAAGTACACTCCTGGGACAGAATATATCATCGCTACAGAATCCTCCGGTAGAGGAGACACAGAAAGATGTGTATGCTTCTTCACGTGGTGTTTTATTCTAGGCACTCAGCATTTCACCTTTCTGACAAGAAAGTCTGGACGTAGAGCCCTTTCCCTCATAGCCATCTCACAGTTTGTAGCTCTCTGTTCCCCTGGCTCCACCCAGACACTTCCAATTGCTGCCCTCTACAACATGGTGATCTTTCAAGCATAGCTCTTTCACTACTGCAGAATTAGTCTTTGAAATGTCATTTCCCTCCCTCTTTCAGTCTGTCTTGGAAAAAAGCAGTCAGCTGCATTTTTTAACAAATATATACACGTTCTCCTGTTTTATTAAAACACATCCATATATTTACCTCCATACATCTTTTGTTTCTTAAAGTCTGTAAATTGCTTAAATAAAGTATTTATGTCCTGCTCTAAATTCCCATTATTTTTCCTGTGCTGCCATTTTCTTAATCAAACCTATTATAGTAATTAATGGGCTCTCTTTTCAAGATGGCAAGCATGTCAGGTAGGACTTTGGGCTACTTCATGTTATCAGATTCACCTTAATATCCTGGCAACAATGTTTATTGCTTTTTATAACTAATTAGTCTCCTTTTAACCAATTCTTGTATATGCCTATGAGAAATGGCATTCCTAGAAAGCACATACTCTATGTCTATCAACCAACTGGAGGACTGGATCAAAGTCTGGAAACAGCCCTCAGAGCCATGGTTTGGCCATGAGAAAAATCCTCCGTTCTGAATGCAGACAGCCCCTTACCCCTCCATTCAAACTGCACGTCAGACCTCCCTGAGCTGTTTCTATGGAGCCAGAAAGCAGCATTACTTTGCCTGCAGAGTGGGGTCACAGGCAGGAAACACATAGTATTCCAGTTGCCCGGGTTCCTGGCCTGGGCTCTGCTGCCAGGGATCAAATCTGCAATAGCATGGCAACACCAGCTGCTGTCACCCACTTGTCTGCATTACTTCCTGCCTGCTACAGACAGGCACGCTCTTTGTGCTTATCAGACTCCCCTTCTAAGTGGAACCAGTGAATTCCTCAATCCAAAGTTATGATTAGGACTAGGCCAGCTCATAACTTTGGCTTTCTTTGGTAGTTCTTTTCCCAATGGTACAATGATGCAAGTTTTCAAGCATGCAAGAATTGTTTCCAGTTTAGATGGTTAGTCACAGACCTGGGTCCTGAACATGCTTCTTCTTTGATTCCCAACTCTTTCACTGCCTAGTTGACTTCCCTGAATTCCTTCTTCCACCCCCTTCTCTGTTTCTTGTCGTATGAAAAGCAGTGTCCCCATTTAGGGAAGCACTGTACATAACACCTTAGTTACCACTTAAGCAGCATGATCCAGACCAGGGGTTGAGTCTTTTCCTGGCACAAGTTGGAGCTTGCAACCTGGCTGTTATGCAGGGCAGAAGTCACCACCACTCTCTCTGCTCTGAGTCGCCAGCTGCTAGATTCCCAGTGGCTCTGCAGCAAAGATAAGCTCAGATGGGAGGGGATGGGCCACACAGCACAGTTTCACAACACTGATCCCTGTACTGAACTGGACCGCTTTGCAGGCCGCAGGTTTCCAACACTTGGTCTAGGGACTAATGTACTGGAATGGGATTTGAGGAAGCTCAATTCTGTTTCTAGCTCTGTCAGTAGATTGCTTGGGAGATCAATGGAAAAGCACTTTATTACCCTGTGCCTCAGTTTTCAATCTATAAAGAGACTATAATCATATTGACCTCCATGGTAAAATGCTTTGAGATTTATGGATGAAGCATGGTGTTATTACTGCAGACTCTCAGGGCAACAGATGAGATAAAGGGGAAAAGCACCTTCAGTATTCCTACATGCTTAGGGAAGGCTGCCTCAAAAAGCTGAGCATTCCTCAGCAGGTGCCCTGTATTCGGATCTCTCCATTTAAAATACATATCTTGGGACTAATGAGAAAACCCCCTTTATTTGAAACCCTTAAAAAATGTCAGTACATTTTCCTATGTTTAAATTGGACTTTAAAAATTAACCCCCTTAGTCTGTTATTGCAAAATTTACTGCATCTCTGAGAATGTAAGAAAGACTATAAATCCCATAGTAGTTTTATTTTTAGATTCCCCAGGATAAAAGCAGTATTAAAACAGGGCATATGTGTAATTAAATCAATTCTTTTTCAGTGTCTGTCTAACCCTTGGCAGTGCACAAACATAATGCAATACAACATAATATTTAGAAAAACCAGGCCAATAAAAAAGAAGACCACGTATTTTTCTAAAAAAATTAAACACCCGTGAGAAGCCTGTTACTACAAAAGAGATGAGAAATCATGCTTGATACAGTCTTCAGTAAGCAATAGTGTTTATATGATGGAGAATTAAGTCAAATATGTCTTATTAGTTATGAAAAAGAGAGTGAGCTATCATTTTTTTTATTACAGGCACTGACGGTATTAGAGGTTTTCCTAATGATGTTCTGAGAGCCACTCATTCTCATCTACTTTGGGCCACAGATACAGCAATGTCTCAAACTAAAACAAATGAAGTTAAATGTTGGCTTTGTAACTTCTGCTAATAATATTTGATAGAACAGTCAACCCATAATTATATATTTTTCATGCACTTTAACTTAAGCCATTATATGATTAAATTTAGATCAGCCAGCCCTCAAAGTTAAATTTTTACACAGTAACAAACACAAAAATTATATATGTGTTCTCAGTAGCATTACAAGTTAAGTATATATTTGGCGACACTTTACAGTAAGTGGCTATTCATTACTAATTCCTTTGGTATTCATTGTAATAACATTAGTCATGAGGAACTAATGTGGATATAATATTTAAGTACTGGTTTATTTCTCTATAAATCGGCAGTGGGAAGAATACATTAGTAATTCCCTTTCATTGACATCACTGGAAGAATATAAGACCATATTGTCATCAGTGGGTATTAAGACTACCCATTTTTATTAAGGGTGGGGTGTCACATAGCCCTGGGAGACCTCTACTAGCTTAACACTCACCTGGTGGCTGCAATTAAGTCCCAATGCACTGGGCCCTGCACTTTTAAGCTTTCCTCATCTGAGTAGGCTGCAGCACTGGCCCTTTCCTCTCTGGGACAAACTGTTTCTCTCTGTACTCTCTCAAAAAAACTGGGCCTTATAGTCCAGATGCCCTAGACCCATAAGATTATCCCTGACTACCATTTCCCTTGACTTAAGCATTTCAATTTTTTTTAGAAAAATACATGGTTCTCTCTTTTATTGGCACAGCTTTTATAAATATTATGTTGTATTGCATTCTGTTTGTGCACCAGGGTCAGACTGATAGCCATACCTTGGGGTCAGGAAGAAATTTTGCCCCATGGTCAGATTGGTAAGAAGTATATTTGCCTTTCTTTGAGATCTCAGGTAGAGTAGCCCTCTATACAGAAGTAGCCAGAATATACTCTGGAACATTTCTAAATTTGGGGGGTTGTTTTTAGAGTTGGAATAGAGCTGAAATCTTCTGCATCTCTCTTATCTCACTGTGGCAGATGCAGAAGTGCCATCAGGTTCACTAAACAAGACCCATCTATTCATCAGCACAGCATGTGTCTGTCTCATCAGATAGGGTCATTTGTTAAGGTGTTCCCTGGCTGAAGCCTGCAAAATTTTTTCTATCTTTCTTCCCCCAGAATTCCAGTTACCATCCTATGTTGACAGCTGCTTGTCCCTGGTCCTGACCCTTATTAGTACATGGATGAAGGTGATTGCACTAGTTCTCAGTAATTCTGTCATCATCTGAAAGGCTTTGAAAATATCACCTAAGGCTTTGCTTATTTCTAACCCCATTCCTGCCCTCTCACAATAGGTTTCTCTTCAAGTAGACAAAACCAGAGCTGTTTAAAAGTATTTAGGTGTCTAACAGTGCAGAGATGTGAGTAGTGGGGTTCTTTAAGAATGTGCCTAATTCGCACTGTCAGGTACCCAGGTTGTAGCCATATTGGTCTAAAGGAAAAAGCAATCAGGACTCGTGGTAGAGGTAATATCTCTTATTAGACCAACTAGATTTTTGCAAAAAACCCCATCTGTTTGTGCCTGAAATTTCCAAGCTTTCAGGCACAAAGACCGTTCTTCAGGCATGGGAGAAATATTGTAAAAGTTCTCCTGGGTAAAAATGAAAGTTCATATTTCATAGGAGAGTTGAAGTTGTGGTAAAACCTCCTGTTCAGAACAGTTCATTTTAGATGCAGATTAGGCTCAGAGAAAAGTTGGAACAGTCTGTTTACCTCGAAGTTTTTTGGTGGATATAGTCTTATTTCCTTCTGGTTGTGGTGTTTCATATATCATAGAGGAGTAAATAGATGGAATACTCTTCTGGACAGGTATTTCTTATGTGGTAAGGTGTCTCTGAGATCTGTGGTGAGACTCTGTGATGGTGCAAATTACTCCAACCAAAGGGAGGAGCAGGATCTCAGGTTTCAGGTGGTCGAACTTGCTTCCTCCTTGTAAAATTATGAAGATTTTATTTAAAAAGTGGCTAAAATTTGATATCTTTGATAAACCTTGCAATTCAATAAAGCTTCCAGTTAAAGAATTTTTTTTGCAAATTCTGGTTGGTCTAATAAAAGATATCACCTCTACCATGAGGCCTGGTTGCTTTTTCCTTTAGACCAATATGGAGAATCTGGATACCTGACACATGGAAGATATCAAATTTTAGCTGATTTTTTTAAATGAAATCTTCATAAAGGAACACGTGGCATTTAAAGCACAGCTTTCACATGGGACATCACCTAGAACTTGGCACCAAAGGGGGAAAGGGCAAGAAATCCTGTGTTCTGCAGATTTTGCCATTAATAGATTTTAAGGCTAGAAGGCTTGATTGTGATTAGCTGGACTGACCTCCTGCCTAGCACAAGCCAGAAGAGGTCACCCTGTATGCAGTAATTAAATGTACTGAGCCCAATAACTTGTGAACCAAGAACACCCAGGAGTTCTGACTGCTGGGCCCTTTGCTCTGTCTACAAGGCTAACCTCCCTTCCGCAGTATAGGCAAAACATCTAATGGAAAACAAAGGCCCTTCAGAGCAAAGGCTGTCTTCTAATGTGTAATTGCATAGCGTCTGTCTCTGAGTGTGGCACAGAGTCAGGGAGCCTGTCTAGAGAGGCACCAGCTTCAGAGAATATATTCAAGCCAGGGAGAAGCTATGGCTAGGGTACCGCTAGATTCAGGATCTCCCAGCAGGACTACTGTGCTACACTTCCTCAGGTCACAGATTCATCCTGATGCAGAAAAGGAAACATGTTTAGATCTCAGTTTTTTATTTGTAAGACAGAAAACCCATTTCCTGTTCACCTGAGCTTGTGACTGCTCATGTCTGCCCTACCCATATTTCAAAACCCCTTTCAGAGAGAACACAGATGCCGATGCTTATTCTTTGGGGACACTGGCAGGGGCAGGGGCAGGGGCTGGCTTGAGTGGGGGCCCAGGTCAGGTTGTGGGATGCTCAGAGCCCAGGAGGCTCATCCAGAGGTGCAGGGGTGGAGGGATTCTGCCACTGCGCACACCTTGGGAGAGGCCGGGGGGGACGAATGCCCCCCAGATTTGTCTGCAGAACAAAAGTGGGCTGCTGCTGCAGGCTGGGATCTGTGCCCCACTGCCACTGTCTAGGGTTTGGTGGTCTAGGGTAGCTGGATGATCCACGAGAGGTGGCATAGAGGGCAGGAGTTAGGGGGCTAAAATAACCTGGCATCGGGGGAAGGGTGGGGCTAGAAAAAGAGCAGCCCCAGGGCTGGGGCCAGTGGCTGGGCTTTCTAAACCCCAGGGCTCTGCTGGGAACTGTACAGAAGTTCAGCTAGATTGGTCTTGTCAGCCCCAATCTAAGTTAGACTACCCCGGAAGTAGGGTTAACTGGGTGTGTAAAGGGCACCAGGAGCCTCTCTGCACCCTGAGCACAGGGGCAGGCTGAGCAGGGACCCAGCCGTCCCTGACAAGCTTGGGTGGCAGGAAGTCCAGCAGCAGGTGGACATGTAGGGGGATGTAGCCTCCTTCCCACGAGGAAGAGAAGGCCAAGGAGTTTCAAGATGGGCTCAATAAGTTCGTGCAGGAATGTCTCTGATAGGGCTGCTCCCAGGACCGGGTCCCTGCACTCAGTGGCCCAGGAGGCCCCTGCCCCTTCCCATCTGCCTTCCCCATGAAGTGGCACTAAGCAATTGTGAGCCATGCTGGGTGACCGCATCCCAGGCACATCTCCATCGCTCAGGACTACTGAATCACGGCACAGGGCTTGTCTGCCACAACCCCCAGCCATACTGTCTGGTTGAATCCCTCTCAACACCAGCCCTGCAATACTGGGAGCATCATCCTTTCCAAATCCTTTCTGGGGAACCTGAGGCACAGGCTGATTAACAGCCTGCTCCTGCTCAGCAACAGCTTTACTATTCCTCCCGGGGGGAGGGAAGAATGAAAAGGGACCAGCCATCCCCTCTCACCTGTAAACGTGATGGTTGCCACCCAGATCTCTGGCCACAGGCTCATGTAGTGCCTCTGGGCTGCCTGGCAGAGACCCTCCAGGAGGGCAGGTTTTTCTTTGGCCTGGAGGGAACCAAGGACACGTGAGCTCCCTCTGGTGAGAAGTGCTCTCACACTGCATGCTGGTACTGATCAAGAGGAAACAGGAGCACCAAGGGACTACAAGGAGCAATCTTGGCCTGTCCCATGCCTCATGGTCCTAGACCCAATCCTTGCAGTTTCTTACGCTGTGCCCCAGTTCCCTCCCTCCATCCTACAATAAGCCCTGCCCTCAGTCACTTCCTGCCACTCACAAACTCACTCACCAAGTGCCTGCAGAGGTCCCTCAGCAGCTGCTTTTGTTTCACCTGTCCTGAACCCTGGACATAGAAGGTCAGGGCTGCCTGTACCCTCCTTAATCCCAGGTAAGGGCAGCAGAGGCCCAGCATTGTTCTGCACTCCTGAAAAACAGAGTCACACCAGGTCTGTATTCCCTGTTGACTGCTGAGCTGAGGCCAAGGGTTGCTTTTTGACCCAGGACTGTGCCCAGGCCAGGAACAGGAGGGCCTGGCCAGGAGGTGACTGGCACTAGGCACAAAGGAGTGGCTGTGAGCAAAGGAAGGACTTCTCTTGCCTTTCATATGGTATCTGCAGGCAGCACTCATCTCCCCCTCAGTTAAGCCATGCAGGGAGACTTCCTGCATGCACAGTGGGTCAGATGTGCAACCTGCCCTGGACCTGGGAGGCAGCCCTGAGCCCAAGGAGGTGCCTGGATGAAGCCGCCTTAGTGGAAAGGGGATGGTCACCACAGGACACAGGGATGGTACAGCGCCCCTGGAGCTGGACTGAGGAGACCTGGTGGGGCTGAGGAAATCAGTGTCACTGGTTCTTACCATGGCCACCTGCAGGTTGAGGTCCTCCAGGGGAAACAAGAGCATTGCCAAGCTCTGCCTCACCTGGTTCCTAAAATAGTTTTTCCATCTTCCCTTTATGCAGCCTGCCAGGGTGCTGAAAAGGGTGAAAGCCACTGAGTGAAGGTTGTCATTGTCCTGTGGCCAAGAAACCCCCGTGTGGTCACAACCAAACCTTTCTCTTATGGGCCTGGCACAGCTCCTGAGAGGAGCCTTTGGTTTCCAGCCTGCCAGGTGGTCTGCCAGGGGGATGGGCTCTGACAGTTCATGCCCCAGGTGGGCTGCTGGGGAGCCAGGGCACTCAGCAGAGCTCAGGGAGCATCAGCAAAACTTGTTCCCTAAACATACGGTCACTAGGCGCTCTGATTCTGAATCTCAGCAAAACCAAATCACACCGCCCCTGTGGTTGCTTGTCTCTGCCCAGCTCTGCTTCCATCTCAGGAGAATCAACATGGCAGAGAACAGCCCAAGAGCCCTACAGAGCCCCATGGCCCCAGCTGCAGCTTTGCTTGGTCTCAAGAGAGTCCCTCCTTGTCTACAAGGGCCCATCTGTCATCCTGTTTCACTTGCTTTTCCTCCTGAAAATTCATCTTTCCCACAGAACTTAAGATCTTCCATTTTGGACTCGAACAAGGGGCAGCAAGTGCATCTCCCACTTCTGAAATGGCCCCGAATGAAGAGCATTGGAATGGGGGTGGGGAGTGCTGCTCACTCATATGGTTGAAGAAGGGCCTGATGTGTGTGACTTCATCAAAAACCAGGGGCCCCGTATCTGTCCCTAGATGATCCAGGACACTGGCCAGTGCGTGCATACCCTCCTCATGATCTGAGCACTGGAAGGCACAAATAATGTCTGGACCAAGGTCTCCAGGATGGCGTTCTGGTGTTTTTTCAGTTGTACAAACAGAAGACATGACACACTAATCGTTGCTTATGCTTCTCACCTCTGGGCTTTCCCATTCACAGAGCATGCAGGACTTCATCTGACCAAGCCCCCATGGCTACATTCCTGTATGCCTGTGAGACACAAGGCACCCATTTCTGCACCAAAATTACACTTGTCACACCCAACAGTCTCCAGAGACACCATAAGGGGTGAGACAAGTGCACCCTTTCAGACCTGCCTTATTGTTTGGTCTCTACAGTCAGGCTGTATTCTAGAGAGCGCAGAGGGATTTCAACCTTACCTGCTCAGGGGCACCATATACTGTGTTGTCCAGTCCTCTGGCTGCCATCCGCCAAACCAAGTTATTGGAGTCCCTGGCTTGCTGTTGAATTAAATGAAGCATTGGCTTCAGGAGCTTCTGGTTTCCAATGATGGGGTCACATATAAGCTAAAAGAAATCAATGTGTCCATGAGATCCAGCACAGTCATTCCCAACAGCCCGGCCTTGCAGCAGAAAAGTAACCCATGCCAGAGCAGAATCCCACAGGACATCATGAGGAAGAGCCTCAGCATGCAGCACTCTCCTATTGGACATGGGGAGACTTGTCCACTTAGGGCCAGGCAAATCATGAAGATAGGGGCTTAGTCTAAGTGGGAGAGATGATGCTGATGCAAGTAGATTAGGATGTTGCTTGCTTTAGAGTAGTGTCTTCCTGGGATGCTGGGTGGATATAGAAGATGCACTAGTTAGGACCAAACTCAGAGCTGATAGCTAGGGCAAGGGCTCAGTAGGGGCAGATCAATAAGGTAATCCTTGTGTGCTTCTCCTTATACAGCAGAAGTGGTGATTCATAGGCAAGGACAGAAGATAAACCTCTCAACTGCCTCCAGTGATCCTTCCTCCTAGGAAGGGGCCCAGGGGACTCCCCAGGGAACGAGCACAGCAAACAGCCGCCTTTTCATCTAACTGTTCATTCTCTATGGGGCCTTACGTGGCTGATGAAGGCCATACCAGTAACGCGCAGCTTTTCAGTTGTGGAACTGACCCACTGCAGGACCTGCCCTATGAATTTGGGCATTGTAATGCCCAGAGGGATAAGAGCCTTGCAGGAGAAAACCACTAGTTCTGGGACCGGCTGGACACTGCCAACACTCAGTTGCTCTGAGGCGGCAACTCTAATCTCTTGGAGCACAAGCTCCATGTCTACAGCCCCACACAGCCCTGCAGGTTCAGCATGGAAAGTTCCCCCTGCACCACTCATCCCACTGCCTAGAGCACAGATGCAATCCAGCCTGCCTCTCTTACATGGCCAGCTGGCATACCCCCTCACGGTGCATCTTGGGGTTCTCAAGGAGTGGCCAACTTCCCTCTTCGCGAAGAGCTGCAGCCACTCCCTCCCCAAGGCCCTTAGTTATGGCACAGGCCAGGGTCTCCATAGAAAGCCTGGGGAGAGAGAAGGCCCAGATTTATAGACTGTAACAAGATACTGCGGCTAGAGCAGAACCAAAACACCCTGTCACTCGGGAGGTTCATTACTCAGACTTTTGCTGTGCAAGTCAGGCAGCTCAGACCAGATTGATGCTGCCACTCTTTCTCATGCCTTGCAACCCCCTGACAGGGACAGGGAGGGCAAGGCCTTGCACAAATCAGTGCTGGGAGCCAGAAGGGATGCATGGAGGCTCTCCCAAGCCACATGCACTATGGAAAGAATTGGGCAGTCATTTTTCTCTCCCTACAACGACAAAGGCCACATGTAGAGCATGGGAATATGCTGAAGTCACATGCCCAGGTCCCAAGCACTGGGAGCCCAGTTTGTGCTGGTCACTAATGCAGATTATGAAGCCTGAAGTTGGAGCCCCTGGGCTGAAACTGCCTGGCCAGTCCCAGAGGAGCTCAGATTGGAGGAACAAATAGGCCCTTTCAGCCTTAACATTTCAGACTCTGCCCTTCTCAGACAACCCCCTGCTTCTTTCAGCTGCCAGGACCAAGACCGCTCAGCACAGCCTTTGGCAAGGACAAGAACACCCTGCAGGCAGCTAGCTTGAAGTGAGGCCCAACCTGTGAAAGCAGTTGCAGCCTACTCCTTACCTGCAAGGGTTGCCCACTGCTTGCAGCTGCCCCCTCCCCAACTGCCTCCTCTGGATGCTCCCTATGGGCATTGGCATGTCCTGCCCCACAGTGCGGCTAAATTGCTCCAGAAGAGCACAGAGCAGCTGTGAGAGCAGCTTCCTCAGCACTGGGCTGGAGTGAATGGTGGAGAGCGTCTCCAAACACGAACATGTTGCCTGATGGGATAGAGAAGGCTAGAGTCAGCCTGGGGAAGACTCCTGGAAATCCATAATTCCAGTAAGTCCAAGTCTAAAGGTCTCTTCCTAACATCCAGGAGAGCACAGAACAGCTCTGGCAGCAGCTTCCTTAGCACTTGGCTCCCTTCCCAGTCACATCCCTGCACTTCTGCCTGGGAAGTGTAGGGGCACCAGCAGCCTGAACAAACAGATACAAAGCAGAAGGAGTCTCTCGGTTACAGGAGTTTCTAGTTCCAAAGTCTCATGGAGTCAGTGAGCCACGTAGCATAAAGCTGCTGTGTTTCTGCTGTTG